ACTGAGCCTGCTACACATATGTAGTGTGGTTGTTATGGCTCAGGTTTGGAGTGATAGACCATTGTAGGACAAATCATACTCCCAATCATTTTTCCCTGCCCACTTGGGGAACCCGAATAAGGTCTGCAGTGACTGACACTCAAGGAATACAATGGTGAGGCAAGGTATAAATTCATGCTGTTCCCGAGCTTTGAATTGTGCTTGTATGGCTTGAACCCAGTGTTTGATTGAGACATTGAGGAGGGCAAGATTCCAACAGGTTCAAAGGTCCGTACTTTAGTTTTTGATTAGGTCTTTGGCTTATCATGTGATGGGTGTAATCTTTGACCCGTTCAAACAAAAAATGACAAAAGTGGAGGAGATAATCAAAAAGATAGCATAAGGAGTGTTTTTGGGATCTCATTCATCTGACCTGCTTGATTGCCATTCCTTGTTTTGTTTTGGAGGACTAGCATTGAGAATGGTGTTATTTTGGTGAAGCATTCAGGTCAGCAGGCATGTTGATACCCATCCATTGCTTACCTAATTTGGTGATATGTAGGTGGTTCTCAGTTGGCTGACTTTGCCAAGAAATATTTGAATTTTGGAAAGATCTGGAAGTGATTAATGGGGGTGCATATAGTCAACAATGGGCCGTTGTGATGTGTTGCCTGCAACGGCTTGTTGCAGGAAACGCAACAGCTGAATATCAATACTATAGTCCCACAACACAACGGGAAAAGGCAACCCCCGTTGTGCTGCGCGCAACACAAACCGTTGCTTGGTTGCTTACCGTTGTGGGTCGTGCATGTGAGGGATCTAGCAAAGTTTGATGGAAATCGCTTGTAGAATCAGGGAGGGTCCAGGGGTATCTGAGATATCCCTGCGCCCGTGCCGGGGCCATACCTGTTGGCCTGTTGCGGGTTTGCGTTGCTCACAACGGGGCGAGAACCGCAACGCAACCGTCTGGAATCCCGGACCTGTACCAGCAACGCACCAAGCAGCAGCCTGACTTGTTGTGTTCCATTACGTTGCTGTTGTCTTGCCGTTGCTTTCCGTTGCTGTGCATTGCTCAGTCAAAGTAACACACCGGCCCAACATTGATATAGTACATAGTTGCAGGGATTTTTTTAGGACTCTGAGGTGGGTGATGTGGATACCAAAGATGAAAGTTTCACCCACCCTCAGAAACTGGGTGGGGTAGACCAATGCCTCACATAGGCATGCCCATCCTAAAATTGAGCTCAAACAGCACACCCCAGGCTTGCCTGTGGGGAGAGCATGAAAGGTGGACTAATTGCACCATACCAAACATGTGGCTTGGAGGAAGTGTGCCTCCCATTGCTGCACTACTGGCACATCAGGGTAGTCTTTATTCCAAAGAAGGTGTGTAGCCATATATTTGTGAAAAGAAGTGTGCACACAATGATTGTGATGGGTTTGAAATCTTATTGAGTACATCCAAAGGGATGGGAGTGCTATTGATTTCACATATCACACTATTTTCAAAATACCCTCCTTTTTGAATACTTTTGTATTGACCTACCAAGTCTTTGTAAGTAAAGACACATCCAACTTGCTACTGTAGTGTTACATAGAGTAATAGTCTATTGATAAAGTCTGGCATATAATGTCCCACAATGGTACCAGCCCAGGTACATGACCATGTGTATCAGGTTTGGCCTGCTTCTAGGTAAAATCAGGGTGACCTGGTCTGTCCTGCTCATGTTGAAACAGAACAAGTTTTTGTGAGATAATCCTTGGTGAATCCTCCAATTTCACAAAACATAACTTGAATTTTTAAGCACTTGAATTTGGATAGGCTACATCAATATCAGTGCCATCCTAAGATTTTAGAAAGGTATTCAAAGCTTCAACTTGTGTGCAAGCAAAGATGATCAAATAACTTGTAAAGTTTAGCTGATCCAGTTTAAATCACATCAGTGATATGGTGTTTTGGCAGCTCTCATCAAGCTTGGGATACTGGGCCCGGTTGCATTGTGCTGGCCTTGTGCTGGCTCAGGATTTCCTGGCCAGGGCCAAGTTGGTGCATCAGTGGTAAGTGGAGTACATGTAACCATGTGAAGCAATAGAGAAACAGGTGCAAAGGTGTGGAACTCTGGATTGCTGGGAATTTGAGTTCCCTCCTTAGTTTTGTATATCAGACATCCTGTTACCCAACCAATTATATATTGGTCAGTTTCATTTACACTCTTTTCCATGGGTATGGTACACCAAATAGTCTGCATGATATACCTGACACTAACACAAAGTTATGTTGTTCTTGAATTAAAATTACAACCAAGAGAGCCCAGGTATATGCAAAAATCCTTGAAGCCACAAGCCTCACCCTGTCCGCCTGAGGTGCTCTCAACGACGAGAGCAAACCAAGAATTTCATTTGCGTGATGATTACGCTCAAGTTTCACCAGGGTGATGTTCATTTACCGCGTCCCTTTATCTCATCGGAGTACAGTTTTCCTTCAAATGCCTTTCACATTCTTCCTTTGTCTTGGTGAGTCAGTACAGTGTAGCCTGACTAGAAGGTACGTACAAGTCCTAGTCTCCAGTTATCAAGTAAATTCGTTCGATATACCAATTAATCATTAATCGAAGTTGGTGTTCTGAATCCCCAGCAAATTACATCATGCCCGCACAGGCTCATCAAAAAAATCGTCACATCTGGAAACGAGGAACTCCCCCCCACCTCAATCAAATCTTTAAATGCCTCTGTCGCCGGCACTATACCATTAGCTAATGCCGCGATCAGTCGCTCTTTAGCTGCATTCACTCGGAAATTACTTGGTGTTGACAAGTTCAATAAAATCTATCCGATGGCCCCTACGCCCGAAGAACTTCAGCAACTACCTCAGCTCACCCAGGATGAAATTATGCTAGATCAATTAGTATTCGCATCAGATCTTACTTCCGCTACAGCCACTTCAAACAATACAGATATGATAGAAATTGTCAACAAATTTATGGCTGAGCTTCAAAAGTACAACATACATCGATTCACCTTCGCATGGGATCTTCCAGACAGTCATCACTGGAATCGTACAATGGCTGTGTTTGTGGCTAAGCACTGGCGCTATGAACAGCGGCGGGGAGCCTTCAAGCATTACGGGATCAATCAATCACACAATACCAAGTCCAATTGTATCTCTTTGATACTTCGCTGGGTACGTGGACGATCTCAGGATATACGATTAAATCGTGGGGAAGCTGAAAAGCTTATAAATGTTGAGCGTGGGCGAAAGAGAAGAGTGGTCAGTTCTGAGTTTACAGTATTTGTCTGTAGTCCTAGGAAAGTGTGCTGATTTTATCTTACCGATGATATAGTTATGTGAATATCGCCAGGACACGGTCAAGCGGCATCTCCAAGTTGATCCTCTCCTAATCATTCCCGATGCCGACTGCTGCTCGGACACTGAATGGTACCCAGATCAGGTGAAATTCAAGAGGGTCGGTTTGAAGTGGCGAAGTCAACAGTATGAAGGTATCATTCGTCAAATAGATGGTCTATCTTTCAGCTACAAATCAAGTGTCGATACTCCAGCTCTTGCAATGAATCGTTTTGATCAATGTCGCATTCCAGGAACCTCCATCAATCCAAAGGCTGCAGTATGTTGTGGTCTTCCCGAGAACTGTTACAACGCAGTCTTTCTTGCTGGTCTCACGTACGAACAGAGGGAATCCTTAAACATGAAGCCCGTTATAGATTTAGATGCACTCTCTGAAGAAATCAAAAATCTTGTAGTGTCGTCGAAATAGTTGTGTATTTTATATTCATGTTTCATTCTCAGCTACATACCTTTTCCTTATTCTTATTTATCTTAATGTGTATATAATTCAAATCTTTGAAGTTTTTGATATGCACGAAGTCTGCCAATTACTCTCATGCTTCAATTGTTTCCACTCAAAGCTGTCACTTGAGACACTCAAAAGTGAATACATACAGTGGAAGCCAAGCTCATCCCAAATATGGTACACAAGACTGACTAGCATGTATTACAGTCTTTCGAGTCACAGCAGATTGGGATACTTTCCTTTCTGGCAAGCTACAAATCTTTCAACAAAGTTTTGAGAGATTGTTTGTACAAAATAAGAAAAAAAAGAGTCACATGTATGTATTTATATATCATTTCAAACTAATCATCACCAGATCTAAATGCTTCGTCACAAATTCCCTGATCCAAAGGAAGATATCCAATTTAGCATGAATCATGTGAGGGTATATATTTGAAAGGAAACTTACCATGCTTCTCAGTGAGACTATTGATACTGTTGGATGGGAGATATTGTATGTATTTGGGTGATTCACTCGTACAGCAACATGTCCAAACATTTGATCAAGTAGAACACATTTGACCTCTTGATGTGAATGATACATAACCGTAGCTTTCAAATATGGCAGGGAGCGGAAGGGGTTATGTGATTCATCGCGTCCTTGAAGAGGGGTGAAAGGTCTAACAATGAAAAAGGGAGACTTATGACCAATCACACGGAAGATTCCATTGATGTACCCATAGTTCACTTGTCCACCCATTTCGAATTGTACATAACTGTTACCTTTATGTTTTGAATATTGAGCGAAGTTTTTTCCTCCATGTTCCCACTGAACAGTTGATTCGAACTTTGAAGTGTCAGAGATTGTGAAATCCATCCGGCCTGATACTGCCGCTTGAAGGGCTGTCAAGACTTCATCGGAAGGAGCAACAAGTTTCCATTTAGTCCGAGTTGAATGTGAGAGTGATTCAACACCAATGGAAGCACGGTATTCTTTTGAAGTATTCGTAAGAACATGTTTGAATAATGCATGCTGAGTGTGAGCATTGATTAATGTCTTTCCAACAACACCTGTTCGATTCAGAAAGAAGGAGAATGTGTTGAATGATGAGAGTATAAGGTGAAATAGAAATGAACGAACATAACACATACCTTTACGTGAGTTTTTAGGTGCCAAAACAAGAGTTCCTATCATTCGCTCCCCAGCCCAAGCTGCAATGTAAGATGGAGGGCCAAACAGTTCACATTGCTTGGTCAGATGCTGTGCATAGTGAAGGTTGGGCCTCGACTTTATATTGGGCCACGCAGATTGCAAATGTTGTCGGTACTGAAGTAGGATGTTGTCGAGATTTTTAAGGTCTTCAGGTTTTAGCACTCGTGAGAGTGCTATGTTGATGACTTGAGTCGCTAAAGTGATACCCTGATAGATCTTCCAAGACGATGAATCACGATCAGAGTTTTGATGATACGGAATAAGGGATAATACCATATACACAGAGTACAAGATATGCCACTCGGCTGCCTTGGGAGATCCAGCACTCGCCATTCCTATGTGATGTGGAACACGAGTGAGCCAAGTTGGAATTGAAGTTTCTCGGATGCATTGGTGGACAAGGTCGAGCTCATGCGAAGTCAAAACAGGGCCTTCAGGGGCATGTACGGTTCCTTGTGAAGATTGGGAAGAGTTTGACTCCTCCTGACTAGCCGGAAGAGATGGTTCCGTCAGCGACTTTGACTTAGCAGATCGAGGGTAGTGTGTGCGGTTACTAGAATGATCAGAAGGGTTGTCATCAGAGATATCGAGGTCCATGTTGGATGCGCTTTCGGATGGTTGAGTGACAGGGATAGAATCGGATGTTGCGGTTTCGGATTCATTATGATTTGTAACATTAGTGTATACACCTTGAAGAGTCTGTTTATCCTGCAAGTTCTTCAGAGTTGCCCCAGCCGAAGCAAGCTGAAGATAAGAAGTCGAGAAACTTTCCAAAAGGCCAAGTATTAGATTGTGCATTATGTCAACGGTTTGAAAGTTGATTGGTTGCCAGTAAGGGAGTTCAGAGAATATAGTGTATCGGACACCGTATTTTTTCTCGAGTTTGTGACGGTCCAACGAATCATTGGCCTTCAGCCACTCGTCACTTTGTGTCTTGTACGAAATAGGATGGCGTTCCTTGTATGATTTATAATCGACATCGTCAATTTCGGGGTAGGTGATATAGCAACGGGAGCAAAAATTGGTGGAGCGATGACTTGTGAACCCCGAGATCTTTTTCATGGCCGGGGCATCAGCAATCAAAGGCCAGATGGCA